CATTTCCGTCATCGCTGCTGCCGCTGCTGAGGCGCCTCCGCTCCTCCTCATACCATGCGCTCAGCGACTTGCCGCCGAACTGCAGGTCTTCGTCCTCGATGATGATGGGCTGCACCCACGAGTGGGCGTTTATGTCGACCTCGCGCGCCGAGGGGTCGAGGGCCTGCAGGTTGGGCACGAGGTAGTACGTCGCCTCCGTCTTGGGCGACATTTTTGCGGTGTCGCCACTGCGGTTCGATGTGTCGGGCTTTGTCTGGGATGAAGCTGACGATGTGTCCTTGCCGGTGGCGGATTTCTTGTCGACGGTCTGGCCAGCCAGTTTCGCGAGAATAGTCTGTGCGACTTTTCGTTTGATGCTGCGTCGATGTTGGGGTAGCTGAGATGGAGCAGGCGTCGATGCCTTTTGAGTGATGGAGTGGCGAGGCTGGGTTGCGGCTGAGGGGTTCAGCTGTGCTCGATAGCGCGTCGGTGAGCGTCGAAGTTTATGAGGTGAGGGGATCGGCCAAGTAAACAAATTGCGGAGCCAGAGTGGAACGCAACCGTGTTGGCCAAGCAAAAGGGGCTGGGCCTGCGTGGAACCCGATAGTCGCGCAAGGGAGGGATCTAGAGTATTCTGCCTCTATTACGAGAGGGAGAAAAAGAGTCCCAGGATTTGAAGGTGCGCGACGATGGTGTTTATGCGCAGGAGCAGGAAAGTGTCAGAGGCCCGATTGTCGGGGGTCGAGTCAGAGTATATCAACGGCGAGCCTCGAGGTGGCACCGGGTCCAGCCGGAAAAGGGAGATGGCTGCGAGAGAATGGAGAAGGGTCCCCACCGGTTGCCCGTTGAGGTGTGAGACGGTGGAGGCAGGTGGCGGCGTGGGTGGGTGCGAGCGCTGCTGAGGTGGTGGGTGAGCCGTGTCGTGTCGTCTGGCTCGGTATCGCGTGTGTCTCTGTGCGTGTCCTTGCGCGAGCGCCCCGAGTGTCGGGCGTTTGTGTGTGTGCCGCTGTTGGATGCTGGCGGTTGGTGGTTGGTGGATGGTGATGGTTCGTGATGACGGATGAAATGGGGTATAGTGATGTTGAAGCGCGAGGCGCGAAGCAAGAAGGAAGGGAGAAGGAATAGAAGCGACGACGAAGAAGCGAGGCTTACGATATGTATATACTGCCCGGTACGGGAGAAAACGCCCACTGTCCACTGTTCACGAGGCGGAAGGAGCAGGCGGCAAGGCAGGCGGGCAGGCAGGAGTGAGTCGCCGTCGATCCGGGGGCTTGGCGGGGGCGCCACCTCGGAGCGGTACGGGCGCAGTGACAAGGCGAGGAAGTACTGCTCCGACACTGTGCGCGCGCCGGCCGGCCCAGCGGCGGCGGGCAGGGCTGACCCTGTCTCTTATACACATCTAGATGTGTATAAGAGACAGGTGACAAGGCGAGGAAGTACTGCTCCGACACTGTGCGCGCGCCGGCCGGCCCAGCGGCGGCGGGCAGGGCTGACCGGGCGCTGAAGCAGCGCTGAGGCTCTGGACCGCGTCAGTTGGGTCTGGGCTGGGCTGGGCTGGGGCCTCCGAGTCCCCGGTCGCTCACCACCTACATGCAGCTTCAGCGGGCTCGGGTCCATGATTTCACCCTGCGGCATCTATTTCAGTGCCATGTCCGGCCAGCGTCCTGCCGCACGAGTTGCTGCTGTACAGCACAGTCCCTGCGCCATCCCGGCCGTGCGCGTCAGCGCGTTCAACGTCAGGGCGCGCGGCCGTCTGAGCCTCCCCGATACCATGGTATGGCGGCGCGACGAGCAACACGCCCCATACTTCGTACGTCGTGACACGGTGGGCAGGTCTCGTGTCGAAGCGGCAGGTGATGGGCGCCTCGGTCAGCGCGCGGCCCTCGTCCCAGCCCATCGCGCTGTCTCGCGGGCACGCCATCTCGTCGGGGGGAGGGGCAGATCAAGATAAGCTGGCATTCCATCGCGGCTCCAGCTTTTGACGGGGACCCCTCACTCGTCGGCAGCGCGACTGGACGGCACTGTGCCGGGACGGAGTGGTCATTTGATTGTTGAGTCGCCCCCCAACGTCGGGCCTCCGTTGTGGCCTCGCTAGCGGCCGGCGCAGCGCCGGCGGGCGCGCTTCCCAGTGGACCCTCGCCGCGGCACAGTGGACTGGGCCACCCGCGTTAGGGCAGTTGGGGCTCCCCGCCGCCCGCAAAACGCGGGGGCGGCTCGTTCAGCGGGCACCCTTCGACCCATCAGATCCAGCCTGTGTCAGCCGAGGGTCGCAGCGGGGAGCAGGCTGCGCGGTCAGCGAAGCGGCGAGGGCCTGGAAACGGCAGCTGGGGCGGGGGCGCGCTACGTCGGATTAAGCAGCCAGCCTGGGCTGGGGCGACGTCGGAGGCGAAAAAGACCTGGAGCTGCGGAACGCGGTGACAAGACTTCCATGTATATCCAGTACGGCGCTCTATGCCCTGCGTGGTGGTGCCCGTTTTTGACTTGCCTTTCAATATCACGGCGGGCTGAAAATAGGGCCGCCTGCGCCATCTGACTCGCCCGTGGGTGGACGCATGGCCGTCTGGGAGGGACACGCGGCTGCCTCATTGGGCGTGCCGCGTTTTCTGTGGCCCGCGAATCGGCGACGTGTCGAGCGAATGTCGGTCGCCGTTCATGGGCTGAGGTAGAGCTTAATAGTATTCCAGCGTGTCTTTTTCCCGGGGCGAGGTTTGGGCGTTGAGTTAGTGCTGCAGAACGCGCGGTCGCGCCGTGTCGCCGAAGAGCTATGCCGGTGGTGCTGAGGAGCCATGCGGTGCCACGCCGACCTGCCGATGCGGCTCTTGTTGATGCTTGCTGCTCCGGCTGCTCTGGGACTCTGACCACTGCTGGCTGCTTCATGTACTTGGTGCCTCAGTGATGCGCGCATGGATGCCTGCTTGCAACGCCGTGAGGGGAACCGGCGATGGCGACATGCGCCAGGCAGATGCCAGTGCCGACGATCCCCTGCAACCCACAACCCATGCGCGCGTCTTGCTCGCATAATGCCATGAGCGCGTTCGCTCGCTCGCGCGGGAGATGACCAGCGGCGCGTCACATGTAACCATCGACNCCCCCTCCCCTCCCCAACCTCACCATTTTAGTAGCATTGTCGCAGCTTTCGCATCCCAGTATGGCAGCTGCTGGTTCGCCAGAGCTTCAATTTTTACCTCACGCGTAGTCAACAACCCATGCGGCGCGGGGCTCCAATCGCGCATGGAGCTCCAGCCGCTCGTAACGTCGTCCTGCCCCAGCTATTCTGCTTGTGCGTTCCCCTGCCCATGGGGTGCGGAGGCAAACAATCCCATGATGCGCCCGCGATGGCGTTATCTGGCTTGTGCTATTGCCGTCTGCCATCTTCCCAGTCACGCGGGCCGGTCGTGAAGACGTGCCTCTTCGTCCTCTCTGCAGACGTCAAGTCGCAATACGCGGTTTGGGCCTCTTGGCAGAGGATGTCGGCTGCAGAGTGACGTCGCGTCAGCGCTCGCAACTCGAACCCCCGCCAGCGCTCTGACAGGGGCCCTACCTAGGTGCGAGGGTCCATCAGCAAAGCCCGCCCGCTGCAGGCGGGGCGTGTCGTGCGCAGGCAGGCAGGCCGCTCGGGCCGCAAAAACAGGGGGACTTGAGAATAGAGGGACCTAGCTGCCGCCATCTGACAGCGGCACCCGTCGAGTTTGACAGCGGCATCGATGAGCCTGACAGCGGCCGTGACCACCTACAGTGTGCGGCCCGCCCCAGGCACACGGCCTGGCCAGGAGGCTCTCTTCTCTTCCAGCCACTCGGTCGGGCTGTCACCGCCCCCGTGACGGCGAGTCTGTGACGCCGTCGGCGTGGCTGTGGAGGCGGTGTCGGGTTGCCTCTTTGGGCCGCTTGTCGCAAGTCGTCGTCGTAATGCCCAACGTTACTTCGTACACTTTACAGCCGCGCAGGAAGCGAGCCAAGGGGAGGCATTTCCGCCTTCTGGTACGACAAAGGCCCATGCATGGTGGGATTCGTAATGACGAGTCCAGACGGGCTCCAGCCTCGCTCGCAACGCTCGCATAACTTGGGTACGCAACGCGCGACTCCGTCCGCGTCACTTGATTCCATCTTGGGCGCAAGTACATGGCCCGCTTGTACTTTTGGACTTGCTCGTGTAATCCGGATCCGCCGTTTGCCCTGCCCTGGATCCGACTTTGCCCCCCCTCCATCTCCAAAACCATGGAAGGATTCCCCCATCTTGATTCCGCCCGGGCGGGCAAATGGCGGGGGAATCGCTCCATCGCCAAGCGGCCTATCTGGCCATGGCCCGCCTTTGTTCGCCTCCCTGGGATGCCGAGCCGCCGAGGTTCCGCCCGCCGCCTTCTCTCCCGAAAACTTGCACCTCCGTCCCATCGTCATGACGCAATGCTGCCATTATTTGTTCGTCGCAAACGCCTTTTCCCCTGAACCGGCATGACGCGCCTTTTGAGTTGTTGGGATTTGAGCCACAGCACCCGTGGCGCGGGTTGCCCAGTATATCTGCGCCCTTCCATGGCCTCCCAGACGTCCGGGCCACAAACTCCGATGTTGCCCAACATCGCATATTCCCGTCCCCGCCACTAGGAATGCCATGCCCGTGGCGAAGGGCCAAGAGGGGGAAATGACCCCGTCATCCGCCACAAGCCTGCTCACGCCCGCGCCATACAAACGTCGCTGCCCTGCTTATCATCTGCCGGCCCGGCACGGCGTGTCTGGCCTCGCGGCACCGCCTGACCCGGCGCCAACGTTACCACGAGGCTTGGCCATGCACACGTCAGTGATGTCATCGCTGCGCCTCCCCGGAAATGCCATCCACGCTGGGACATCTCCTCAGCCCTAAAGTGTACATGCCAAGTAAAGTTGGCGGCAGGCTTACTGTGCCGTACCCTTGTCCGATTATCAGCGATAATCTTGGTCCTGCGGCAATGCCTTCCGAGATGGCTGAAGCCATGATGACGACAATGCCGCCCAAGAGTGCCCGATCGTGGAATTTCCGCCCCGAGTCGTCATTCTGATGCGTGTTTTCGTTCTGCCCCTGAAGAAAGTTGATGCAGGCACAGAATAGCATGGAGACTCGCAACTCGGTAGGGCTTGGCGGCGACCGCCATGACAGCACCTGGTGATGGCTTCATACCGATGCACCGCGCCGAGACGTCTTCGCTCGTCGCCAAACAGCCGCACGTCCTTGTAACGTAGTCTCTGCGCCAACGCGAATCGCGCGGCGGCAGCTCAGAGTTTGTTGCTCGGCCAGCAGCTTCGATTTCCTCGCTGTAAGTTTGACTGCTGGACAAGCTTGCACCAAAACACTGCACCCGCGCTTTACATAAGTAGAGACGAAAGTCTACAGCTTGTCTTCCGGCCATGACCGGAGTCCTGCGACTACAGTCATCGTTCACTTCTCATTGCCAACATGAAGGCCTCCCCTCTTTTCGTCGCGGCATTTGCCGCCCCTATTGGCTTTACAACGGCCACCCGAATCGACAGCTCCCTCCCTGACGGCCTCTACACCGCCATCCCCGACGAGTCCAATCCCACGAGGCACCTCATCCGGCGCGACACGTCCAGTCTCGGCACAGACACAAACATCATCCGCGCCCGACAGCGGGGCGTGCCCATCCCTCCACGCTGTGCACGGGAGGAGTGCATGCGCCCCATCCAGGAAGCGCTCCCGATCCCCGACGGCAAGTCCTTCTGCCGCGACCCGACGACACGCAACATGACGCAGTCCGACTACCACGCCGCGCTGAACCTACTCTTCGAGTCGCCGCTGTACTGGGTCCCTCCCCGGACGGCGCGCTTCGCACTCCACCGCGGCGCCATCGCCTACGTGTGCAACTTTGTCGGCTGGAACACGGCCTCGCTCGTCGAGTTCATGGCCGCCATGGGGGACCTGGACCGGGAGTGCGGCGTCGGCGTCGCGGGCAAGCGCTCCCTTGCCCAGTGGGACAAGTTCTACGGCCGCGAGGCCCGCGGCTGGGACATCTGCCGCCTCGAGTTCCAGGACGAGGGCGGCATCGACAGCGAGCTCCAGGACGTGGTCAAGGCGGGGTGCGAGACGTACCTGAGCGGCGTTAGGTCGTGGTTTCGCAGTGGGAAGTGCAATCATGGCAACTCGGGCACCGCGCTGTTCAGGAAGATGAAGGAGCTGTTTCACTGGTACAAGGCACCGGGCGAGGGCGTGGAGAAAGTGAAGCTTTGATTTGATGGGGGAATATATTGAACCCAGGGTCTGACCCGATGATCATGTATCAAGTTTAGCTTGCCCAATGCGAAGCAGGCGAACACCAAAGGCTACCCAGGAGCCCTCGGTACGTCAAAGTCGATGATGGCGGAAGCAATGGGCTACATCTCAGCCTTGCAGCTGGCTCACTCTCGCACTCGGCCTCCCGCACCGATCGTATCTGGCTGTCAGGGGCCCGGCATCGTACACTTTCGTCCGCGGATCATCACGTCAATCAATGACAGACTTCATGTTCTTGGTCAGAATGGTAGGGACGTCCTTTCAAACGTACCAAAGGAATATTCGACGGCCTCCTTGACACTGCTGGGTGATTCAGTGGCCATCTCGGCCACAAGGGAACGGACCTTCAAGACTAGAGTAGACGGATGTGCTCTACCATGATGTTTGAGGCATTCACTCGAGTGGGCAATGAAAGCAGAATGCACAAAACCACAAACAGTTCCATTCACGACAGCTTCAACCGGACATCCCAGCCAGTGTCACTGACCGTGGATCGGGAAGCGTAATCGGTGCCGTGACCGGACCTGTCTACCAATCCTCTGTCTGTGCAAATCAAGCGCAACTGCACAGTGTGTCCCAGACCAAATCCCACCAGCCAGACAATTGTCTGTGCAACGCAGAGGCGACTCAAGGTCCAGCCTCATTCTATCCTCAATCCCCTTGTGCAAGATCAAACAAAGATCAAACAAAAACTTAAACATGCTCCAGTGGTATCTCAACAACATCCTTGTAACGCCGTCGCACCCCAAACGATGGCGAAATGCCCCATCGAACCAAATCGTGCGCCTTCAAGTTGGAAAACGCGTTGGTCGTGAAGAATCGAACCGCACAACTCCAAAACAATGCAATCATGTCCTTCGTGGCAGGCACATAAGGCAGCTCCGCTCACTGCTTGTTTCGTGCCGATGATCTCGTAACGCGTGCGGGTCGGGCAGGCGTGCCGTTCCCCGACATCCCCATCTTCGCTGCCACTTGGGCGCTTCGCTCCTTCGTCGCGGTCGCAGAGGGTTTGGCTACCTTCGAGGGCTTCGTAATGCCTGTGTTGCCCAGAGTCGCTTTGGTCTTGGCCGGCCTGCCTCTCTTGGGCTTCTCGGTCTTCTCCTCTTTGTGGGCGACCAGGGGCTCCTTCCAGCCAACGTTTGTGCCTTTCTTAGAGGGCTTCTTGTTGTCGGTGTCTGCTGCGGCCACCTCCATCTCGTCAGACTCAGACGCCTGTCTCGCCAACACCTCAGAGGGATAGTCCGCATTGCCCTTATTCTTGCGTGTGTTCTCTCGGGTCTGCGATGATAGATCTGTCTGAGCCGCTCGCTTCACAGTACCACCACGACCTGCGCCTGAACGTGCTCCAAGCTTGATAGCCGTTGGGATCGACGACTTCGGCGCACTGGTCGGCTGCTTCTGGTTGCGCAATCGTGAGGATCGTCTCGCCACCGGCGCTTCCTGCATCTCCACGGCATCCTCCTCGCCATCCGCGCCCTCAGCAAGTCGGTTGGCGGTTTCGTCCGTCATTGCAGGTTTATCTGACTTTTCGGTTGCGTCCATGTGGCGGTCAGTACTGGGATCAGGCTCCGATTCTTTGTGACGGCGCGTCCGTTTGGTGAGGCGGCCAGCTCCCTTCTTAAGTGGAGTCGGCCCTTGTGCCAACTCATCTTCGTCTGCCTTGCGTTTGGCCTTTTGCGGACTCTCCGTGTTGGGGCTCTTAGCCACCAGGGGCTGTCGCTTTGATGGCGGCGCAATAGGAGATCCTGTCTCTGTCGTCGAGAGCCGCTTAGGCTTCGAACGCATGATAAAATCTCGCATGTAGTCCCGCCCAGGGCTGTCGAACTCGAGGCGCTTCGTTTGCTGACTCTCCTGGCTCTTCTCCTGTGCTGCTTCGGGCACGGAGGGATTGTTCTTCGCCAAGAGCTGTCCAGGGTTGTTGAGTGGTGTAAAGGTAGGGGTGCTCTGAGAAGTGGTTGGGTGGTTTGCCTTCTCGGCGATCTTTGCGCTCGAGGCATCCACGTTAGCGCCCTCGGTTGCGTCGAGAGCAGAATGCAAGGTAGGGGTTTGTAGAGCAGGGAACGGAGCAGGGGTCTGCAGAGCAGCGCCAGGGCTGGGGGCGTATGTGATCCCGGTCATCGTAGGGGTTTGCAGGAGCCGAGTGGTGTTGACGGAGGGAAGATCCAGCGTCGTCGCATCAGCGGGAGAGTCTGACGGCGATCCAAAATCTCCGACAACCAAAGTCTGGTCCTGCGCCACGGAATTGGGGTCGAAACTCGTCGTGCGTTCATCGTCAGTGGCGTAGATAGATTCCGAAGACAGGCCAGGAGTTGCTGGAGACGACTCGTTGCCCACATTCATCGGCTGAGCTGGGAACCGGACGCGAGGCGAGGAGGATATTGCCGATGGCGTGACTGTGAAGCGGCTTTCGTCATGTCTCTGGCTTTCGGCGAACTTGGACGCGAATTCGAGCGGGAGCTTAAACCGCACAAACAGCTTGTCCATGGCCTGCTCGATAACGACCCTGGCTGCGCCGCCGCATCTCTCCTCGGCAATCTTGGCCAGATGGTCAACCGCCGAGACCGCGTGGCCCACGCTCTGGGCACCCCCGAAGATGTCAGGATTCTGACGAGCGTCGACATTGAAGACTGCGCGCGAAATCTTGGGGGTTTCCCGAATGGGAGCAGGTTGACGGCCAGTCAACTTGCCCCACGAGAGCGCGGGCGTTTCGAAGCTGCCGCTGCTGATGTCCGGCGTGTTGGCCATGTCAGGGGTGTGGACACCCCCGCGCCGGCTGCCTCCAGCGGTGTCGGCACCAGGTGAAGTCGCGTAAGACGACAACTTCTCGGGCGACAGGGACGGGCGCCCACCCGTCCGGCTCCGCTGGAGGCTGCGGATCAGCGGCTCGCTCTTCCGGCGGCCCCCCTTGCTGGAACCGCTGCTACGCCGTGAGCCGCCTGAGGCGGCCAGGCTACCCGACATGGGCAGCGCGGTGAACGAGGACGAGGTGCAACCGAAGTTGAACACCTCGCCCTCGCCGGCGTCGATCCCCCTGAGCGTCGAGGGGGGCAGGGCTGGGGTCGCTGGTGGAATCGAGTCCACCAAGCCCAAACCCGACCCTCGGCGCTCGGACAACCCCGTTAGGGGCGTCGAGGGATCCTGTCGGTTCCAACGAGAGGGCGTTGGGGCCACTGGTCGGTCTGGCGGCGACGACGAGAGCGCGAACGGCGACGGGCTCGTGCTCTTCTCCCCCTTGGTGGGGGATTCTTCGCGGCGTGGCGACCCTGTTACAGCGGCGGTAGCCGCTGTCGCCTTCAGGGAAGGCGAGGTCGCCACGATTTTCCGCGGCGCCGGGGTGTCGACATACGGCGTCGACGGGGGGGAAGCCGACTTGGTCGGCGAGGGCTCGGTCCTCGGGCTTGACGCCGGCGGTAGAGGCACCATCGTGTCGCTCAGCCTTCGAGCCTTTATGGGGCTCGAAGGCTGAGGCTCCCGCTTCGTGGGAGACTTTGCGTCGGCTGGCAGCGAGGGGGGTCTCATGAGAGCGAGTGAGCTCTCAGGCTCCGTGACATCTGCGATGTCGGACAGCTCGGGCGCGCCCTGGTGGGCGATGTGCTTGCGAGGGTCTCGGCGCAGTTCTTGGAGGTTTGAGGAGACTTCTGCAATCGCGGCCGCTTTGAGGTTGACTTGGCGGGTGTCGGAGTGAATGGTCCGCAGGACAATGTGCCAAACCTGGTCGTAGCCACGGAGGCGGTAACCGCCAACGAGGCCGTCTCGTTCAATATGATAGTTGCGGTCAATCCGTCGCTTCGCCGGGGTAGAGGTGGTGGCACGCTTCTTGAGATATTCGATGTCTTGAAGGAGAATCTCTGGGTCCAGAGCGAGCATACTGTTGGCAAGATCCACTGCCGCATCATTAGCAAGTGTTTGGGAGTACGGGAGGATGAGGGACGCACCTTTGGCTTGCATAAAAGCGTTGGTAATCTCAGCCATAGACTGAGGCGACGCGTGAATATCTATTTCGTTCACGGAAGGTGTGTATTTGCTCGAACGCCGACGCTTTGCAGAGGGGAGCTCGAGCTTCGCATCCTGGGCTTGCAGTTCTTGTACTGTGAGGAGCTTTGCAGGTCGAGTCGTCAAGACATATCGCGTTGGCATGCCAATCTTCTTCATGATGGTGAAGGGTTTCGATGGGATACGGGATTCGGCGGGCACGCGAGTCCATGCAGGAGCACGATAGAGAGCATCTCTGAGGGCAAGGCAAGATGTCCAGCGGCTAGAGAAAAAGTCAGTCAGAGAGCAAATGACAAGGGACTTGTCGACACGTACATGGTGGTCTGCGAAAGCGGCGCGGCAGTCGAATTCTGAGTCGCGGTCTGGTGTCCAGCGACAGGAAAGAATCGAATGAAGAATGTGGGTAAAGGGTTTCTAAAACACGACGCGTCAGCCATATTGCGTTTGCATGCGCGGGGCTTCATGGGGTTCTCACATATTCGCGAGCGGCAGCCCGCCACCCGTGGCCGGGCAGTCCGTCGCGTCCATCGTACCGACGACAACGTGACTGGGGTTCGGAAACGGGGAATAGTGAGGTGCTGCACGGTTTGGATAGAATCGCAACGAGGCGGAGCTATCAACGCGGAGCAGGTTCGTTCGAGGCGAGAGCAGAAAGCGCGTCGAAAATGGGTGGAATGATGACGGTCGTGAAGCGGGACCGAATGTCGCAAATGGTTCAGACGCGTGCGAGGAGGGCAAGATATTGCGGAGAAATCGTCAAAGGCTGTGCAAGGGTATGTATCACTCGAGTAAGGCGAGTTGAGCTGTGAAATGCAATACCAAAGCGCCGGGGACGAGAAACAACGCAAAAGGAAGCCGAAGGCACACGCGTGTGGTAATGAGAGTTGCAAGAAGCTCGAGTGAACGGGGTGGGAGAAACATTTGTTTACATCCTACCGCCTGCGGCCAGGCCAGGTACCTGGGCGCTAATCCCGATTGGGTACCATCTGCCAGCTGCCTGTCCCACTCAGTGAATCACTGAGGGCAGCGGGCCACCGCGAGACGATGCATTCACTGTTGGCATCAATAGCTATTGTTCCGCCGCGCTGAATTGGATGGGGTGAGTGCTCGCACCTTGGCAAGTCTCAGTACGTCCGCAAGCGCGCCTCCTGGCAGACAGGTACCACGATGCAGTGCCGGCGCCATCACGGGTAAGCAGTACGAAGGACAGAGTACATACGTAGACCGACTCGGTGACACTCAACAAAGTCTTCGGCGACCCTCGAGACAGGCATTACTCGCAATCATATTTTGTCTTCGCTGCTCGTGCCTCACGCCTGCTGCCATCTCCCCATGTAGTGACGCACCACCATCTTCGTCTCAATTCCCAGTTGCGCACTTCATCAGTTACCCTTCCACCTTTGTACCGGCACGTCGGCGCTGACTCATCATTTTGACGTGGGGTCCCTCGCGCGTCCGCTGCCCCTCCACTGGCTCGGCTCTGGCCCAGACTCCCCAGGCTGGAGCCTACTGCGCCAACGTCATCCCTCATCCCATCCTTTAGCCCGCGACACCAGACCGCAGCATCTCGCAGCTCTCTGTCCTGCCCATACAGCCTGACCCTCTCCACGGCAAGGCACGGCCTCCTACGCACCCATCCACCATGAACCGTCTATTCGGCGCCAAGCCCGCGGGCCCCAAGCCGACCCTCGGCGGTGCCATCACCAACATCGACACGCGTATCGCCTCCATCGACACCAAACTCAAGGCGCTCAACGGCGAGCTCTCGGCCTACCAGGAGAAGCTATCCAAGATGCGCGAGGGCCCTGGCAAGTCGGCCATCAAGCAAAAGGCCCTCAAGGTGCTGCAGCGGCGCAAGGCCTACGAGGCGGAGAAGGACAAGCTCGAGTCGCAGGTTTGGAACATGGAGCAGGCGCAGAGCATGCAGGACAACCTCAAGAACGTCATGACCCAGGTCGACGCCATGAAGACGACCAACAAGGAACTTCGCAAGCAGTACGGCAAGATCGACATCGACAAGATCGAGCGCCTGCAGGACGAGATGGCGGACCTGATGGACGTTGGCAACGACATACAGGAGAGCCTGGCCCGCAGCTACGACATCCCCGACGAGGTCGACGAGACGGAGCTCGATGCCGAGCTCGAGGCCCTGGGCTTGGAGCAGGAGCTTGAGCAGGAGATGGGTGGCGCCGTCCCAGGCTTCTTGCAGGACGAGGTCGTTCCCGAGTTTGTCGACGAGCCTCCGCAGATGGAGGACAAGGTCAAGCAAGCAGCCGGATAGTTTATGGCGGCGAAGCCGGGATATACCATTGTCATGTAAGGCGTGTTTTTGTTCGGAGCACATTTAATACCACAAGCGCAGTTCTGTCCCCCATTGTCCTTTGTAGCCTCTTCCAGTGTCAATCGGACACTGTCTGCGCGCAGCCGAGCTATCGTTGTGGCTCACCTACTCCGTGTCATAGGTGGCAATTGCCGTCCATTGCCTTTCGGTCCTAGCCACGGCCACGTCTCCGTATCGGGGCGTGTTCACTTCAGCGCGGTCGGCGAGGTGCAGAAGTGCCTAGCTCTCCTGGTATAGACACCCTGCCGCGGGTACTGCTCCTGCATAAAGGGCAATCCACCGCCTTCAGCTCTAACCCAGGTCAGCAATACCAATAAACATGTCATCAGCATTCAGACGGCACAAAGGTGGCGTCTACCTCTGTACATATCCTCAGGGCCAAGGTGGTACTGCATATACGACGCATCATGCAAAGCGGGCTGCTCCCGCCCGAATAGCTTTTTCGTCACAGCACGGCTCAAGCAATCAAGTGCCACAATTGGGTTAGCTTTGTAACGTTCTGGGGCCGTCACGCTTATGCATATCCAAAGGGGGGCAGCATCTTGGCTTATTGTCGCTTTCCAGCCGTTCGCGTACTACCTCCGGCTGCCTCGCGAGGCCTGCGGAACACATGGCCGTTGAGCAGGAGACCTCTTCAGTATTACACCTGCTTCAGCTACCGCGTTTGCTCAGCGCGTCGTTAACGCCAAGGGGAAAACTCTGCCGTGGCTCCTGCGCCATATTACTGCGACGCCGGCTAGCCTGAGGAGTACAATACGACTACGTCGGTGACCGCCGACAGATGGGCCAACCTTGAACTACCCGCCACATTGCTGGTTCGCGGTATTACTGAATGCCAACGCGTTGCTAAAGTGTACCATGGCTTGTTCAATGCTCGCCACCGTGGAGCATCTCGCCAACGTTAGGGAACCACGGCGTGGAACTTGACCACCAGGACCTGTTATCTCCGGTATGCGCACGGAGTAGCCGTGGCGCCGATTAGAAGACTTCAATGGCATGCTATCCTCACCCATGCTATCCTCAAGGCTTTCGACACCCGTCCCGGCAGGGGAGCTGGCCGTCCATCCATTCTCTGGCGGAGCGACCCTAGCGTGCGGCGCCGGAAACATCGCCTTGAAGAAGCGAGGCGCAGAAACGATTACCGGCTCGGCTTTGCCGGTCATAGTTACACCACACGTCGGGACTACGACCCCTGGACATAACGTGTACGGGAGTGGCTTGATGCCGAATTAAACGCCGTGGCAAAATCGGGCCGTCTACCGCGTAGCTGTCAAAAACTTGCATGGTTGCGCTATGGCTAAAATGTGAAATGTAAACTGTTGCACACTTCGAGGTCCCCACGCTCCAAAGTCCTGATAGCCCAAACTCCACTCCCGATGCAACTGCTACTAGACCATCCACTCTAGATGTGTTCGTCAAGTCATGTGTCGTCACAGGGCCAGAACCCAGAATCATGCCTTCGCCAGCTAGTCGACCGTGGCAAAGAACCGCGCCGCTTCCTCCAGTGCGGGATCCCCATTACAAAAGTCCCAGCCCACAATTACCGGTGCCTGGCTACAGCACACAATTTTGCGCGCGTCAAACTGCAGCTTGAACACCCGAGCTGGGGCGTTTTCAGCAGCAGCGATATGCGGGTGATGATGTATGGGCTGTGCGTTGGCTAAGCCCTGCGCCACCGGTGGGGGCGGTGGTGGTGGAGGTTGTCCAGCCTGTGACGGCCCAGCCGTCGGAGGTGCAACAGGAACTCGGTCAGGGAGTTGGGGCACACGGTGAACTTGGCCTGTCCAATTGTCCAACGAAGAGTATCCTGGCTGGGGCGGACCGGGCATCGGGCCACTGGCACCCTGTTCCGGGCTGGGGTTGTTTCCCTCACCAGACGGTCCGGCGGTTGGAATATTGCCGATATGACGTTGCTGAACGGACGACTGAGGCCCGCGACGTTGCCTTTCCGATTGGCCATTCTGAATGCTGAGCAGCGCTGTCGTCACGGTTTGTCGGAGCTGCGCCCTGACAAAAGGTGACGGCTCGCGCTCGATGGCGCGTTGCAGGTATGTGTGGTACGCCAGCATCACTGGGTAGTCTGCGAGTGCTTGCTGCAGTGCTGCAGCCCCTAGGGGGACAACATGGTCGATCAAGCCCGTATACAGTCCAGCTGGTCTCTGACCCTCGTTACGCCGCTCATGAATCGTTGCGTTCAGACTGCCCGCTCCGTATCCCAAGCTGTGTGGCTGTCCGCCAGCGGAGCGTGACGAAGAGGACGACACACGAGTCATGGCTGAGGCATGAACAGGGACGCTGCCTTGACCAGGCGCCGAGGTCGATGGCGCGAGCTGCAATGACATATATCGCTGGGCCGCCAGGGCCGCCTCTTCCTGGCGCAGATGATGAGCAGGTTTCCAAACGCCCTCCTTGTCACGTCTCCAGATGATGATGCTCTGATCATAGGAGCCCGACACGATACGTCCGTATTTTCTCCCGCCACCTCCACCTGGTGGCACCTTGGCACCAAAAGCCTGGATCTCGGTTGGCCGAGAGCTGCCAGCGTTGGCCCTCCTTGAGCGCCGGGTCCTACGGTCGTTCTCATGGCTGACCTCGCCTGCCTCAACTGCCCTGAAGTACTCGGCATCGACGGCCCGAGCCTCCGCCTCGTCTTGCTCCTTGCTGTACGGAAGGTCGCCGAAGCCTGCCTGGACTGTCCGCACCAGGTGAGCGTGTCCACGGAGCTGGGCCACCTTGAGTCCCGTCGGCGCATCAAAGATGCAAACCTCGTAGTCGCTGCTGCCGCTTACGATTCTGCGCTCGTCGAACTCGACGCATGCGATTCCCTTGTCGTGCGCGGGGATCGTCATCGTGCAGACCTGGTCAGGCCAGTTCCAAACCTTGATGTGCCTGTCGCCCGAGACGGAGACGATTGTCTTTCCACGGACCTGGATGGCGTTGACTGCCGCTCCGTGGCCCTCGAGGCGACCAATCAAGGTGAATGGCTCTTTGACGGGTAGCTCTTGCGCAAGATCGGGCTCGAAGCCGTAACGTTTGATGTTCGTGGCAACGGGGTTTATCGGGTCGTCAGGCATCACGTATCCGAGGTCTCCGTACCTCAGCGGCCTTCGGTTGAAGATTTTGATGGTCTTGTCCTTGGAGGAGGTAACGAGGATGCGTTTATCGAACCTGACGTTGAGGACAGACTCGCGGTGCGCCTTGGTGATCTTCTGAATCAGTTCACCTGTCGAAAATCTCCAAATAAAGACATTGGAGTCACTGCTACCAGACACCAAGATATCCTCTGCAGGATGGGCATCGAACTGCAGGCAAAGAACAGAGCCGCGGTGTCCGACCAAGGGTTCGCGGACGAGGCGTCGCGTGTGCATGTTCCAGATGCGCATCGTCTGGTCCCGACTGCCACTGACGAGATAGTTTGCATCGAATTGCAGGGTGTAGACGCACTCTTGATGCCCCTCCTCTGGATGCATGGGATGCGGCAGCTGAAAGGTTGTGTACTTGCCCAGCTCCCAATTCGATTCCAGTCGACGCCGCATATTGTAAAGATATTTCCAGTTGAGTCGGTAACGGGTACTGGAGAGATCCCAGGTCCATAGCGTAGATCGAACGAGAGATCCCGGGTCGTCGAGTGAGACAAGAGGTGGCAGTGATGGTTCCGGTGAGCCCCCGGGCTCCTTTCGCTTTGCACGCACAACATGGTCCCCGGACCCGAAACTCCTGTCCACGCTTTTGCCTTTAGCTGACGAGAAACTGCCTCCTGCGTCGCTGGGCTCCGCCGCCAGAGTGGCTGGCTTGTTTGATGTGAATGAAGACAGTGGTGACCCGAAGATACTATCGCCGAATGCAAGGCCATCTCCAGCGGACGGCAGGACACGGTCATTGTCAGTCATTTCGAGGTCCTCATCTTCGTCGAGGGCGCGAATTTTGCTGGCGCGTCCGCCCTCATCCTGGAGCCGGTTCAAGTGACCAATAGAGCTGTTCAAGCTTGCGTTGACTCGCGCCTCCCAAGCCTCGATTTCGGAAGTTATCGCCTTCCAGCCCTCGAGGTAGTACAGCGTCTCCCAGAGCTTGCGATCCAGGGAAAGATCGTACCACGCGCGGCACGTCTTCATTACGCTGACCAGCGAGGCGGGATCCAAATATCCTAGCACTTTCAAGCATATCTCGGCCGGCAGATATTGGATGAAGTCGATGTATAGGCGTGGGTTGAGGCGCTGCACGATCTCGGCAATGGCAGACGTCGGTAATTGATCGAGGAGTACCATGGTGAGTTCTGAAGGCGGCTACGTCAGTGACGGGAAGGGGGGTTTGTTCGTGGCATCTCAACACGGACCGGTCTTGATCGAAGTCGGCAGGGCCGACGCGTTGTTGGCGAGCCATGATGGCAGGTCCGCAGGCGATCTCAGGGCAGAAATGGCGGTCGAGAGAGCCTGGCTAGACGTTGGATTCAAGGGATCTTCCGAGTAACCCTCGTCGGTCTGGTGGACGGGCGAGAAGGGGTCCATGGCTGGCGGCGGGTGGTCTCCTTTGGCCATGATCGCCTTGTTGCGTTGCCGTTACCGTCGCGTGTCCGGCGTGAGACGATGGTTCGCTCGAGGAGCGATATCGCAGCGTCCGGAATAGACCCGTATGGGCGGATGCGTGATTGGAACTGCAGCCCATGCAGACCGGCAAGACACGACCGCTGACGACTCGAGGGATCCGAACTGAGGCTGACGACGTGCCCCCGCGGTCGACGCGGCCTCGCCACACTTGTGCCGCGCTCAGGGGTACCGGGGCAAGGGTCGGCGTATTCGCCGAAGGTGTCGTTTTGACGCCCGCACCGCACCGGCGTGTGTCGTGGCTAAGCGGCGAAGAAGCCGTCGTCTGTGTCTGTATGTTGTGACGATGCAGGGCTGGCGGTGGGAACGGACAGCATGGATGGAGTCCTGCAAGGTGGTGGAGCGCCGTGGCTGATGGACGGCGGACGACCAAGCCTAAACACGGGCGGGCCGGCAGGGATTGGATCGAGCCGCACCCGCCAGCCAGCGCGTGCTGTGCTCCCAATGGGCGAGCAGCACGGGGGCGGCGGGGACTGACAGTGGGCACGCTCCTGACCTTGGGCTTCACCTTCTGTCCCGTTCAGGTGAGCTGGAGGGGTGCGCAAGTGGATGGAGCAGCCAGACATCACAAGAGCATGAGGCTGCACTGTTCAAGGTTTTTGCCGGCAGAGCTGCACGGATACGGGCTGTTTGCCACAGCGTGCAGGCGCTCCAACGGGAACAACACACGGCACCTCAGGCAAGGTACCTTTGCACCAGCAAGAAGGTCGTGCCCTGCCTTGGCCCCGGCACAGTTCCCTTGCGGGCTGGCTGGCTGGGTCGCGCAGGCTCAACAGGTGAGGCAAAGTGCCGTCTCGCAGTCGCACGACTCTTGCATCGGCAATTGTGGGTGACGGTCATCCCAGGGCCGTGTCTGGCACGTCCGAGCTGAGAGCACACCAGGGGGTTGTTGCTCCCGCCGACTATCCTCCCCAACCAGCCTTGAGCTTGCACACAGCCAGCTGGCCGACTGCCCGCTCCGCATAGCCCCGTGCTCGTCAGGAAACCCTGCTCCGGGGAAGTTGAGTTGCGTCACAGGACTCTTGGATGGGTGCGACGCGACGATTGTGGCTTTGTCGACTGGAAGCGCTTGTGACTCGGACCTGCTACCTCCATGCAGGAGTGGTCAACCTGCCTGGCTTGGTCGACGCGGCTCATTCAACATTGCGCACCAAGGGCAATACATTGTACTGTATAGTTGAACAAGGTGGCGTATTGGTATCCTGCGACCGGCTCTGCTGTAGAGACACAATCACAGGAGCGTCACCGCATCGGCCTGCGCACGGGCTTGCGACTGAACAACAGAGAATCTTCAATTTCCTTCCATGGCACCGTCGACCTGACTGAGGACCACCTGCATGGGTGCTCTGTCAACAACGCTCATTGGCGTTTGGCGACGTCCAAGCCTCGCCGCCAGCGCCTCCATCCGTGGCAGCGCAGACTATACCCCCTGCTAGTTGTCCACCTGTATGGCTGGCAGGCTTTGAGATGACATTCCACGAGGCGCCCGGCTATAGTTGAATGGCCGAAGTCGTGCATCCGTGCAGATGTTTGCAACCTTGCAGCAAGGCAATGTTTCATGGGACGATGATGCTGGCACATGGTGCAAGCCCGTAACATCCTCGTGACCCAATGAGACTTTGCAAGGGCTTCGTTTTCTTGTGACAGGCCCTCAAGCCGCCCATAAAACATCCAATACGACAATAGCTACCTGCCGCTGGCAGTTTGGCATCCTGACTGGCTCCTACGTCTCTCGATGCCCTTATTCGACGCACGCTGGTTGAGGATGGAACATGCCACTGAAAGGCGGTGCAGGGTGGGCGTCATCTGCGGCAGCGAATCGCGGCTATGGCGGCTTGTTCCCAACCTAACAGATTGCACTCTGCAGAGACAGGAAGTCTCGGCGCAGACGCGGGAATGGGTTCAGACGTCCTAAATGGATGTATGAAGTTGAGACACTACTTTACTCCGTCCTGTGTAGGTAAGTTAGTATGCAAAGACGAACTCAGCCGTGGGCGGGCCTGGCAAGATGTAGGGTATGCTGAGTAGTCGCTGCCGACGTGATTGAACTTCTTCTGCATTTAGCTCCAAGCCCGACGAATGTCATTGCAGATAATAGGTATCGAGGCGGCGTCGGCAGCGGATGCACGAAGGGTTTGTGCGGGCGCGGTCGGCAGTTCCACTCCGCGCCGCAGGCCGTCGAACAGCGGATGAGCACAAGAAGACGAGTGCGTGTGAGCAAACCATGCCACCTCAGGATCAGGGACTTGGGAACGGCCCGTCACACGAACCTAAAAGCATCCGTCCGAGCCCCGCGCCCGCGTCTGACGATCTGTCCTGCCGTCATGGCGGAGAAGGATGAAGCGGGGGAACACGACGTTGCGCCCGTCAACGCTCCCTCCCGCTGCGTCACTGCCACTTTCAGACGACCGTCAATGACCTCCTCGACCGACCGTGCCACGAGCTGGTCGAACTCGTGGCCTTGCCTCAGTTGCGAAGCGCACTTATCCCGGTGCCACCACCCTGACAAAGACCAGCCTGCGGACGGAAGCGAGCTCCACCGGCAATAGGAACTCCACTCTCCCACTCGCCTCGACGCTATCAAGGGCATCTCATGGGTTGACAGGGTCCGGGATGGTGGGGAAGACCAGAGCACAGGCGCTGTTCTGCGCTCACTCGAGCCCAAGCCCCCTCCTCATCAATGACCCATTGCGCCTGATCTGATCGCCGTCAGCTGCAACGACGTACTGTACTTCGGCGCCATGTTGCTTACGGGCTTTGCAGGTCCGTACGAACGAGGGACCCGGACAATATCGTGAGTCCTGTCATCTCGCAGACAGGGATATTCAGCACTGCAGCTGTGGAGGCGTTCGGAAGCACTGTGGTGCGGGTGGTGCAGGCCGGCATGTCGACGACGAAGTGCGCCTCAAGTTGACAAACGGCCGCCCAACGCCGCGTCGACCAACAGTGCTCGTTGCCTAGGCATGCCTTGACGGCCTGCATACTGCCCCCGCAGACTGACAGCGATTGTTCGAGACACTGTACAGAGAACCTAACCCGATGGGAGCGTTGGCGCCCATTTCCATGCAGCTCAATGACCCTCAGCTCGTAGCGCAGCACTGTTCCGCGCTTCGAACGCTGTCCTGATTCAGCATCTCGAGTATAAAATGCCGCTCAAACGGGCCTGATGTTGCAAAGCATTTCCGGATCACCAAAGCTCAACGCCACTGGGCCTGACCGAACCGCATAGACGTCGCTAACACCCTTACAGCGCGGGCGCGCGTCTTTCTGGTCCGTTCCGTCCCTTGTACCTCTTTTGGGATCGTCACACCTCGACTTACCGACGGTGGCATCGAAAGAGCAGAGATGCCCAAAGGAAGCACGGCGGTCCGTCCGCCTCTGCGACGGGACATTAGACTCTCTGCGGCATAGCGCCACTCATCACGTAGGATGAAACGGGCCTCTTCCCTTGCTGCGTCCATCACAAGCCCGCCGCCCAAGGTTGGTTGCCTTGGGTGCGCCATAAAACCCAGGGAGTCGGTGGATGCACCGGGGATGGTGGAGCACCTGTCCATGCTAGCACGCGGTACCTGGTCCGACCGCAGGCGGCGCCGCGCTAGACAAGTACCTCGCCCGCCGGGCCATGGGCCCCTTGCGCTCGTACCGCCAGCCCCAGCCCTGGCCCCTTGAGTCGGTCTGCGGCGCGGGCACCTGTCTCTTATACACATCTAGATGTGTATAAGAGACAGGTTCCTGTCTCTTATACACATCTAGATGTGTATAAGAGACAGCGTCCGCTCAGGTTCCATAACCGTTGTGGCCCCCTCAACGCCTGGTTCGCCGCTGTCGGGGGCGCTCCTGGTTCTGAGGCCCCCGCCCGCGCGGCGTCTGGAGCGCTCCCACCGCTGGACGAGGGCTCCATCCACGGGATCCCGCCAGTTCCCCGTCCCCAGTCTCTTGATCTCCCCATCATCGTCTTGTCGGCGTCGTGATTGCTTCTGCCCCCCTACCCTCCCTGCGCCTCCTCTCCTATCTTCTTTCTCCCCCCCGTCGTCGTCGTTGTGTTCCGGCCTGCCGTCTTGGTTTGCATGTGTGTGCTGCGCACCCTGTGCCCCTCCCAGACAAAGGCTCGTCTTCTCCCTTCTTTCGCCCTCCGACCCCCTACCCCTCCTCGTCTCGAACGCCGCCAATCGTCTGCCGCGACCCTTTGCCCGCTTCGACTGACAACATCGACACGAACGACTCGCGGCCCACGTGTTCGACGGTGGTGAGCCGGCCCCTATTCCCAGCAGCAGCAGCAGCAGCAGCAGCACCACGACCGTCAGCGGCACCATCAGCAGTGCCAGCAACAGCCCTGTTCGCCAGACGGTGCTACTGTGAGCTGTCCCGCAACCGCCTGCATCGCAGCCTGCAGGCAGCCTTACCCGCCCCGGTTGACGTCGTTTCTGCGACGACGGCGGCGGCGACGGCGGCGGAGAGCCACAGCGAGGCCGACTTTGCGGCGCCACGTACGCACCGCGACCACCAAGTCCCGATCCCTCCTGCACGCACGCCGACTCGAACCTGCGGGTGATAAGCAGCGCAGGACAGACGCACCTAGAGTCGACACGTTCCGGCTCGAGCATCGGCACAGCAAGCCGTTGACGTTGACAGGCAGCGAGCATCGCCGAGGAGCTGTGGCTGTTGGATGACGCGCGATCGGGTGCCCTCTGAGACCACCCACCCCCCACCGCCAACCTCTCGTGCCAGAAAGGGAGGCTTGACAAACACGAGACAGCACAGGACATCGTTCGCGGAGCCGCTTGTTGATTGTCTGAGCGAGTGACCGACCCTCCACCCTCCTCCGCACATCATCGCGCCCGCCCTCCACGTCTTGACGCCCGGCCTCTCCCTGCCAGACCGCGTCGTACGGGCTGTTCGCTCGTCACCCATACTGGCCTGAGCAGCGCTTTCCACCCCCCTAACGGATGGAGTAATAAGCCATGGCTCATGCCCCGTTACTCAGAACCAATACGGCCCCGGTCTTCCAGTCTACACTGAGCGGCACCGGCGGCCTGCAACAGGACAGTATGAACAATGCGCCGCGCACCAGCCAGCTCTCGGGCTCGACAGCCTTCGCTGGCTCGTCTTCGTCTCTCAACTCCCTAAGCAGCGGTGCTACCGTTGTTCCCGGGCAGAATGGTGGCCCCGTCATCGCGACGACAAACATCATCAACCAAAAAGCCGACGCCTCTCGTTCGCTGTACCAGATTTGCGTCTCACTCAAGCAGCGCCTAGCGCAGGTGCCCAACTTCGAACCGTTCCTCGAGCAGCTCGACCCGACGGATCCCGTGGATCCGTTATGGAATCTCTTTCGCTCGGGTTATCCACTCCTCGTCATTTACAACTCTCTTCAGCCTCCCGAGCCGCTCAGAGTAGACGACCCAAATGCCTCAGAAGCGAAGAAATCCAAGATTGCCATCTTCAAGTTTGTACAAGCATGCATGAAGGAGCTTCAGGTCCCTCCGACAGAAAGTTTTGTCATTACCGACTTGATGGGCAATGACACCTCTGGGTTCGTCAAGGTGAGCCGTTCTCCCCCGCGTCCCACGAGGCATCTTCGCCCCGCACGGAAAACTGAAGGGAGGCATGTGCTGACACACCCGCAGGTAACGCAAGTTGTCAACTATGTGCTCGATCTCGCTGAACAGCGCGGCTTGCTACTGCAACAACACCTATATCCCGAAGATGAGCCCATGGCTGCCCCAGGCGGCTCCCAAATGAGCTACAGAGACCACATCGTCAAGGAGCTAGTTGACACGGAGCGGAAATATGTCCAGGACCTCGAGAATCTGCACGACTTGAAGAAGTCCCTCGAGCAAAAGGGCGCGATTCCCGGCGATATTGTCCATCAAATATTCTTGAACATCAACGCTATCCTCGACTTTCAGCGTCGCTTTCTGATTCGCGTTGAGACGACGAATTCGATGCCCAAGGTTGCTCAGCGTTGGGGTGCTCCCTTTTGCTTCTACGAAGACGCGTTCGACATCTATCAACCGTTCATCGCGAATCAGAGGAAGGCTGCTCAGATCGCGAATCAGGTTTTCGACAAGATCCAACTCTCCGAGCATCCTGTCGCTGCCGACTTCAACACACTAGACGGGTTCTTGTTGAAGCCCATGCAACGCCTAGTCAAGTATCCGTTGCTCCTCAAGGCAAGCTTCGATTCAATCCCTTGTCCAGCGCCCCCGACTGACGACGACGACCCTCAGGACCTGCACAAGAAGAGCGAGGATGCAGAAACCAGAAATGATCTAATGTCAGGCTGCGAAGCTGCTGAGCGTGTTTTGCACAAAGCCAACGAGGCTGTGAACCGAGATCTCCTGGATGAAGCCCTGGAAGAGCTCATCAACAGAGTAGATGACTGGAAGTCCCATAAGGTGGAGTCATTCGGAAAGCTACTCTTGCACGGCGTCTACGGTGTTATTACTGGGAAGAGTGACCAGGAGAAAGACGTATGTTGGCTTCCACACTTTGAACCTCAGTGAAATAATGAGAAACTGACAAAGGACCTACAGTATGAGATCTACCTCTTCGAGTGTATACTGCTATGCTGCAAGGAGGCGTCGCCGAACAAGAGCAAGGATAAGAAGGACAAGAGTCGAACTTCGGGGCCCAGACTCCGAAACAGGAACACGAAGCTCCAGCTCAAAGGCAGGATATTCATGACTAACGTTACTGACATCGTGTCTCTGTCCAAGCCAGGTAAGGCAAATCGACCTCGCAGTCGCAGTTCCCCTCTAATCGTCGGCGCAGGATCGCACAGCGTCCAGATCTGGTGGAAGGGCGACCCTGGCGTCGAGAACTTCACAATCAAGTTTCTCAACGAGGAAATGATGAAGAAGTGGGCCGTTGGACTTGAGACGCAAAGGAAAGAGAATGCTCCGCGCCTGTCGACAAGTCCCGACGGTATTGCAGCTGATTTCGCTTGGACGCGGGATCACGCGGGCGGGCTCGAGAACCCGTATTTGCAGCAAGACGACGACGACGACGAGGACTACGGACCCGCCACCGCTCCGGCACAATTTCCAGTGCCATCAAACTCGACAGTCGGTTCGATGCCCCGTACGTCGTCCGCTACAAACCTGAGACAGCGATCGGCGACTGGGGACAGCGTGCATTCACTGGCCGGCATCGCAAGGGCACCGCCTCCACGATTCCCACTGCCGACTCCTCCAGCGCCCCTCAGCCTACAGACGATGGGTAATGGTGCGCCGTCACCCGGATCAAGGGGCGGGGACAGCTATTTCTCGCCCATCGGTGACTCACCGGCATCGTCACGGACGAGTACGACCAGCGGGGTGTTTCCATCAGGATACTCGTTCCCAAAGACTGGTACTCCTCAGGCGGTTTGGGACGATGTGAATCGGTATACGGCACCGGCCATGCCGCGGGCTCCGTCTCGTGATGGCTCATCACCGAACCCCCACGCAATGAATGCGCGGAACCTTCGTGGCCCATCGCTTCCTGTCATGGCGACACACAGTCAGAGCGCAGCCCAACAGCAGCGGAGCCGGTCTTACAGCACGCCCGACGTCAATGCCGGCGGCATGCCGCGGCAAAGGCAGCAGAGCCAAGGCCACATTCCTGCCGTGCCCGGCATCCCCCAACATCTCCATCCAGCGCACGACGGCAGCATCCCGAGGTCACAAAACGGTTCACCTCGTAATGATCTGCCGATCAGAACGAGTACCCAGAGCCCCGGAGCCCAACGTGAGCGGCACCATCAGCATTCGGGCAGTCTGGGCGGCACCATGTCGCACTTCCCCGCACAGCCGGTGTACCCGCGCCAGACCACGCCCGGTCCTCCGGCAGGGAGCTCGCTGCGAGTCGACTCAGTTGCGGCCAACTCCCGCACAGTCTCGCCGGCCCTGGGCACAGGGGTCGCTCCGCCGCCTACGAGCAACCCCTTGGCCAGTCCAGAGCTGCCTCTGCCGACGCAGCTCAAGGTCCGAGTGAATTGCGACAGTGGCAACTACGTGACTCTGGTCGTGGCCTTCAACATCACTTACCAGTCACTCATTGACCGGATCGATGCAAAGCTCGCGCGCTTTATGAACAGCAGCATCAGCAAGGGCATGTTGAAGTTGCGATATCGCGATGAAGATGGCGACTTCGTCACTATTGAAAGCGACGACGACATTCAAATTGCATTTATGGAGTGGCGAGAGGGAGTCAAGAATATGTATGCGGGCGGCGTGGGAGAGATAGAGCTCTTCTGCGTTGGAGACACGTCTTAATGCCGTCTCGATGCAAGCCGCTCTGCTCGGAAGATCAGTGAGAGTTGGCGTGGATGAGGCATCGACAGCAGGGCGAGGCGGTGACGGCTACTCAGGATATACGGAACATTCGCATGACTGGCGCACGGTACTATTATATCTCACGACATCGGACACGCTCGAAGGGCGATGAGTCACGAATTAAGAGGCACGAGCAAATCCTGCCCTTTGTTTTAAGCACCGCCATATAGACCCGACCGTGCAGCGAATTGAATTCGAGGGGAATCATGCGCGGGCTCCTTGGGATTTTGCCCGTGTTGCGCTGTGCTAATTTGGGTCGACCCTTTTCAAGACACATATCTTTCTGTTCCTTCGTCTCGGTCGGGCGATTCTGTGCCTTGCCGGAGGCTCCCCTGCCGGAGGCCGTGAGACGAGCAGCAAGCACTGTTTGTTGTGGCACCTGATGATGACTGTGTTGCGGTGGCATTGGCATGATTTTTCGAGTTGCATGCATGCCTTGTTCTTCAGCCCTGTGCAAAGGGATGGGGGCCAGGAACTGACACTCGTTGGCCAACGGGCCGGGTTTGCTTTGTATGGCGCGAATGGAGATGCTGTGACCGAGTTGGATTCTTGGCGAGCCGCTATACTCGGTAGCTGCTCATATAGATTGGAGGTGGTGCAAACAATACTGGCGCGATGCTCTTTGATATCGTCAAGGAAAGCAGTGTGGAAGTTTGACTACCGTTCGAGCTTTGCGCAATGTTGTGAGCGCCGCGTCTCGTGGCCCACGCTCAAGCCAGCGTTAGCCTGCCGAACGATGTGCGAGACATCTACGATGCGCTGGGGAAGCGGCAGGATGTGAAGAGCGCTATCTTCGCGTGGTATCGGGGCTGTGCGGCCTCTAGACGCCACCTTATTCCGTATCGTACAATGTGGCGGCCCTTCGCCGTCTGATGTACAGGGTCTTGGTTTCAATCCTCCCAAACAACGCCTGGAAATGCAATTGTGCCTCTTCCTCTCACTCCGCTCCCATCTCCTGGTGCTCTGTACAGTCCAAGTCCGGAGACGCTTTCATTGTAGAGCGAATTGACCCCTTTCGTGCCGTCCCCATTGGGGGGTCACGCGGGTTTGTTCCTCATCGCCTTCTTCTTTGTCGTCGTAGCGGTCGGTCGCCGACGGCCTCACTTTTGCTTCCGCGGGCTCGTGACGTACTTTTGCATTCGCGACAGATGGTAGTTGATTGTGTTGGCGGGGGCCGGCGGCGGAGGGGGACCGTCCATGCACCGCCGGAGCTGGTTCTCGATGGCGGCGCACCCGGCGGCGTTGTAACCCGCAGACGCCCAGCACGCTGCAGTAGCGGTCAGTTAGCACGGATGTCGCACACTCACTCACTCAGTAGCCATTGAAGGCGACCAGGAGCTAGCCCTCAGCACCCAGAGCGCGAGAGGGCCCGGAGCTGTGGGGAGACGAGACGGGGGGAAAACGCACCTAGGACGCTGGACATGATGGCGATGCAGGGGTTCTCGGGCTGGCGCTTGGGGGCGTGGACGCGCAGCGTCTTGAGCGGCGGGAGCCGGATAGGCTTGTGCCCTCCGGACATAGCTGGGCGAGAACGAGAGGGCTGCGGGTGTGGGAGGAGAGAAGGGCGCGCTCCCAGCGACGATGTGTGGTTCCGGCTGTCGAGTGGTTGCGATCGCCTCTGCTGCAGCTTTTTTGGCGGCCCTCGTCGTTGCGCTGCCGCCCGCGAGGAAGCCGCAGCTCAGGATTCGCCGGGTCACGTGCGCGGTCGCCCAATCTTTCCTGTTGAATGGCTGGGTCACGTGGGGACCTCGTAGGATCGCTGGCCAGTGATGCGCCTCGCGTCTCACGGCCGAGGCTTCGCCGTTGCAACATGCGAACTTATTCTCGTGCGACCCAGGGAAATAATAGCTTTCAAAACGCCTATTTAATTCCTGCTGTCTTCATCCTCTCAAAGCATGCTCTATACGCTTCATGGACCTCGGGTATCTCGTATCCATACTCCCCGAGCTTCGTCACTATTTTGGTCACGTCCAGCTCGCAATTGCTGCGCCCTGCCTTGATAACCTTTGCCTGCTCCTCGAGCGAAAAGTTCTGCCAAGTCAGGTCTGGTCGCACAATCTCCTTGAACAACCCCAGGACCTCGTTATGCGAGATCGCGCCCGGGTTTGTAAAGTTGTACACCCCCACTTCCTTGTGCTCTGCGAGCACGAGCGAGGCCGGTAAGAGGTCGTGAAGAATCGTGTTGCTATTTGGAATGTCGACGACGTGTTCGTAGGTGATGATTTTGGTGACGAAGTTACGCGGGTGGAGGTCGTCGCTTACGGGCATGCGAAGGCGTAGGATAAGACAGTTCCCATAGCTGCTCAGGATCTACGAGACATTTCGTTAGCACCCGAGTCTGGCCTGGGGGCCAAAGAGTGATGGGCTCACAGGCTCAACATGACCCTTGGTCATGGAATAGAAACTACCGGCAAAGTTCGGTGCGTCGTCTTCCGTAAATCCAGGACCTCCTATGGGGTGAGTCTCATCGTACTGATAGATACACCCAGTCGCAAACACCGTGCAGTGGATATTGCTCCGAAAACACTGATCCGCAAGGCTAAGCACGCCAATAACGTTTGAGCGCACCGTGTCGGCCTTGTGGTCCTCGCACCAGTCGACGTTCGGCCTGCCAGTACACCCGGCGCAGTTCAAAACATGCGTCGGCCGAACTCTTTGCAGCTCCTTCCCAGTTTCGATTGGGTCCTCCATGCGCACTGTAGTGGTAAACACCTCCTTGCCCTGCTTCTTGAGAAGGTCCTCTAGAAGACCGGCCAGCCACCCACTGCCACCCCAAATCAGAAACCGCGGTGGAAAGGATGCCATGGTTTGAGTCTGTACAAGCGCGAGATAGCTTTGCTCTGCAAGTAATGGCTGCATTTCGAGTATTTGTAGAAAGCTGTGGTGCTTGCGCAGTACTCCATCCGGAAGCGGACTGTGATGCGGAAAGCCCAACATCCTTGATAAGGTGCTGTGTACTTGGTCCGGCATGAACTTGATGATTACCAGTCAGGACCTGTGGACCCTATGCTCGTGCGGCTCCTGTTTCCGATCAGCGAAGCTGTAATCTTATTTTGGCGAATACATTGTGTTTCACGGCAGCTCTGTTTTGACCTAGGGTCAGAAACATGGCTGACTCGTGCACAACTTACATCATTGCTAATATTCAACTGTGCTGTGGAGATTCGCACAGCGTATTCCTCGTGATAAGGTTATGCACCTCTGCATACCCGTCTCAACCCCGGGCAGCTCTAGTTTCCTTTGCCTGAGTGCTGACGCGGCCCATGCCATCCGATGTTTCGCTTTGAATCATGACTTGAGTTCTTATCGCTCGAGAAGGAGTGCTTTGACGCATATAATCGTACTTGGCAATGGCTACAATGCTTTTATGTTGCCGAACTGGATCTGGAAGTATGACCTCGACACTGTCAAGAGCACGCCACTGGAATGACTCGGCTCCTACTGACAACATTACCAACTATTGCCTCCTCTGGCTGCTCTGGGAGACTGTGTATAACACACAACGACAATTTTTCAAATTTCCTAAAGGGAGCTAAACGATGGCCGCCATTCATTCTCGCACTACGGCCTCGGGTCTCTGGCCCGAATCACTGGCTGAAAACACGGAGGGCGAGGAGCGGTTCGCGTCGTACGCGACCGACAACGCCTGGAAGACTGCCCCGATTTTACAGGGCAGTACGAATTTTGAACCTCTCCCGGATGTGAAGAACATTATGGTTACTGGAGGTGCCGGCTTCATGTAGGTGGTTGCCCAGAATATCCACACATGTCGTACTGAGAGCGTTGACTTTACGATTGCCACAATCAACAGTGCGTCATGGGTTGTCAGACATCTGACCCTGACATACCCTCACGCATACAATGTTGTGTCGTTTGACAAGCTTGACTACTGCGCCACACTCAACAACACGCGAAGCCTCGACGGTAGACCAAACTACAGCTTCTATCTCGGCGACCTAACATGCCCTTCTGACGTACTGTCTTGCATGGAGAAGCACAAAATTGATACCGTTTTGCACTTTGCCGCTCAATCGCATGTGGACCTCAGCTTCGGCAACTCTTATAGCTTCACTCGCACAAACGTTTACGGTACACACGTCCTACTAGAATGTGCTACCAAGTTCGGCATCCGGCGATTCGTTCACGTATCTACTGATGAGGTGTATGGTGAGGTCAAAGAAGGCGGCGATGACCTCGTTGAGTCGAGCATCCTCTCGCCAACAAACCCTTACGCAGCGAGTAAAGCCGCCGCAGAGATGCTTGTCTGCTCTTATCAAGCAAGCTTCAAGCTCCCCGTGATCATCGTTCGGAGTAACAATATTTACGGGCCACACCAATACCCCGAGAGTAAGCTGGGCACCCTAACTATTGGCCACCTCATATGAGACTAATTTCCCAATTTTGGGCCAGAGGTCATCCCGAAATTCATATGCCGTCTTCAACGAGGGCAGCCTGTGGCGCTCCATGGAAACGGTTCGCCAACACGACGATATCTCTACGCTGGCGACGCAGCGGACGCCTTTGATACCATTTTACATAAAGGTCGAATCGGGCAGGTCTACAACGTGGGCTCTAGGGACGAAGTTGGGAATCTTGCTTTGTGCAAGATGTTACTTGCTGCCATGGGCTTGGGCCAGGATACACCCGAGCAGCTCCGGAAATATGTGAGGTACACAAACGACCGCCCCTTTAACGACAGTCGATACGCAGTCAACGCAACGAAACTGCACCAGCTCGGCTGGCAGCAGCGAACAAGCCTTAAGGACGGATTGGCATTGACGATAGCCTGGTACCGGCGTTTTGGTGAAGTTTGGTGGGGTGATATCAGCCCGGCTTTGGAACCGTTCCCAATTTTGAAGGATCAAGAACATGATCTCGGTAAGAAGCGCTTCAAGCAGGAAGCATTGAAGGTCGTGGGACATGATTGGGTTGCATTCAATTAAACAGCGTTGTTTGCTATGTAAGTTTAGTTCTTTGAAGAATGCTGGATAAGAGAATCATGCATAGAAATCGATTCACTGTTCCGTCTTGGCTTGTCCGCAACTCGGCGCGAGTCTACTTCCCTAAAACACTGACATGTTACTGGCACACGTTGTAATCGTTTAAGCACGTTCATTATCTACCGTGGCACGATCACGGTTAAGAGTCAGCCGACTTTCGCCGCACAGAAGTCTTTATGTCAATTCAGCCGGGTTGGCATAGAGGTAGGCTGATAGGTGTGGTAATTTATAACGCGCCTTCACGAGAATGTTTCTTCGCAATTCCCTGGCACAAAGTCTACCATGTCCATCTCCAAAATCATTTTGACCTCGGGGCAATACTTCCAGATATGCTCCCTCTGATCCAGTGTACCCCATACATGGGGATGCATCTGCTTTGCTATCCCAATATGATAACCCATCGGCTCGTAGTGCCCGTCTCTCCAATCGTCGATTCCTTCCACAAGGTTTCCAGCCCGTATCAACTTCGATATTGAGTCTTTCTTATGACTGACGCTCTGGTAGTGTAAAGGGGCAGAGAACACGTGCTCTGGCTCGCCAGCGTGCATCTCGCCTGAAAACATCAGTGAGATGGAGCCGTTGGCAAGGCTACTTCCAGGTCGCTCTTGGAGGCGTTGAGAGAACCATATATCTTCAGGCTCAGAGTTATCCCGTCGCTGCTCATCTCGAAGGACGTCGATGAGGCTGCTAACACGACGGAGAGATAGGCCACCGTTGCCACCCCCAGCTCCCTCAGGATTCCATGGGGCTCCAATCCAATCGTATTCCAGATACTCATCAACATTGTGCCTGCTATTGGCACAAATCATTGAATCGGTCTGGAAAACAAGCAGATGCTCTGCCGGTCGCAGAATTGTGTCGTACAGCCGCAGCGTTGTGAGGAATCGACTAATGGCTTCTTGCCCATTGACGGCATAGTAGAGGGGATTCGTACTTGATCCAGCTTTCCAGCGACGATATGCTCCCTAATTGCAGCAGACTTCTTGACCGCCGCAATCGACGCCTCCGAGCCCATGAAACGGATACTCCAGTCATGCGGCAAAGAGTAGATAAAATGTAGCAATAGAGGCGCTAGATGAGGCAGGGGACGGCTCTCAACCAGGAAGGCAACTTTGTACCTATGTGTCTCTGGATACACGACATCTCTGGCAATCAATGACGCCGTAAAGAGCACAAACGCTGCTATCCTGCATTGTCGATAGTTAGATTCACGTAACTGGTCTCGCCTTCTTTCGGGGATGAACGAACAGCGAAAGTGGTATAATAGTGTTCAAAAAAAGCTTGCGGGGGCTTGGAAGCCATAAAAAGCAGGCACTCTGCAAAGACGCGACCGTGGGTTGCATGTTGTAAAATGTCCCTGTGATCTTCGGTATCAATGATGCTCCGTGGGGAAGGCGGACGCAAGGAACTCAAAGGTGGGTTAATCGGTACAAAGGCAATAAAGCAGTAATTTAATTGTATTCGAGGACAAGGAATGGAGGAATCAAAACAGAGCCTGATGGTGGAACATGTCTCAAGGTGCTGCGGCAAAATGGCCGTGGCAAGATGCTTTTGCTACAGCATTGTGAAGCACCACCATCCCGGTCATATCCACCAACCTACCCTTATCGTGCTACCGTGTCCAGCTCTCTTTACTTTCGGAGCTTTGTACGAGTCATGACGTTTCGTGCAACCCCTAAGCATCTCTTGTGGATCCACGTACGTACAGCTCTGCTTCCGCTTCCCGAATCAGGGTTCTTATATCTGCAACTCTGGCTCGCCTTAGATTTCTAGGTTCAAGTGCCGAGCATCAGCGCGCCACCATATCCTCATCAACATGCTCGCCGTGCGAGGTTACACAACTATTAGTGGTCGGCTTTTGACAGTTGTATCGCTCATCTTAACGCAAGTATCAATTGCCGGTAATAAGTCTATCAAAAGGATGCTGCTGACACTAGAAAGATGGTGGTTTGCATTTCGTCTGCCCCAATTGGACTCCAGCGGCTTCATTGGACTTACAGCAAACAAGAATGACCAGTCTCGCATTATAGCCAATTGGTGGCCCAAGAAAACCTCCCAGAGCCATTACAATACTTCAAAGGTTGCTCTCATTATCGAGCCTGAGCCTTTACCTCTTCTCGTGCCTCTAATACTGCATATGATTGCAGTTGTTCCCTCAGACTGGCGGTTCCTCTTCATTGGCTCTGAGGCGAGTGTTTTCACCGTCGGTAGGGGGTTCGGCATCCAAGTTCAGCGTGGTCTCGGCAAAATAGACCTAAAGGTGCTTCCAGAGCCCTGGGCTATCAGAACAGATGGGGACCAGGCCCGGCTGCTAACAGACGAACGATTTTACGACGAATTTCTTCCCGGCGTGGCTTGGCTATTAAAGTATAACCGCGATAGTATACTTTGTTCTAACTCAGAAACAAGCCTAAATGAGTGGCTCGATGTGAGCTGGGCTGGATGTGCCAGGTGCCGCTCCCGCCACAGATTTATCGTGGTACTGGAGTCATAATCCTGCTAACAGCGGCGAGGAAACAGGCCGGCGGATCTTGGGTTTTCTGGCTACGGTGGCTTGTCGCTTCGGCGCGTATCCGCCATTAGACGGGTGCTCCAGCTTCAAGGACGCAACAATGGCTCCGAGCCAGAGGACGAATGGTTCATGAAGGGTCTTTTGTCCCTGGATGGCGAGAAGATCGCCCCTGTGGCCGGGCGTGCATTTGCGGTTGAGAGCATCCTGCAAGACAAGCCAATGGGATATTACGCACCGAGATATGGCCGCGGTCTCGAGAAAGATACGTGGAAAGACTCCGAAGATCGCATGGG